GAGGGGACCTTCCTTTCTAAGACACAGCAAAGGCATCTGCTGGCTTTTCACTTCGTGTTTGTGCTCATCTTGGAGCCGTATGTATTTACAATATGTAAATACAAATCATAGAGCAAGAAATAGACCAAGACCAAGAAACTTTTCTGTCTGATCTAATGATCATGAAAGATAGTAGTTGAGAAGCATTAGGTTACCTTTAGAAACTCATGTGAAATTATATATTTGTTAAAGTTCATGGCAGATATGTAGGTGTTAGAGGTTTTACAGATGTGTGGATTTCTGTGAAATGAAGCAGTAAGAGACCTGAGAATTTTGATTTCCTTATTTTTTTTTTTTTATTTTCAAGTAGGGAATTATCCGCAGTTCTTTATCTTATTGAACGTTCAGTAGTCTATCTGCATATATCTTGAATTAAAATTGCTAGTAGGGGTTGGTAGTTTTTTGTCTAGCATTCATTTGTTTGCTTCTAAAGTATCTATTGGTCTTCATAGTCATCCAGATCTTCAGTTGATATATTGACCTGTTTGATTCTTCATAGCCAGTTATGGTGGAAATAAGTTCTCTAAGACTTAGAAACATAGTTGAGATGTTCTGTGGAAATCCTGAATGCTATTTCTATGCTAGTTTACTGTCTTAACATAAATACAAGGCTATATTATATCAAGCATAATGTATGTTAAGAACAAGTGAAGTTGGATTCTCAGATTGTCCAAGAGCAAATTAAATATCTTTTAAAAGGTATAAATTTGTGAATTGTCACAGTTGTGGATGTACACAGAGTGCTTTTTATTTTTACTTTCTTTATTGTAGTCTGCAAAAATGATTCTAGCCACAGATGTTTTATAAAGATTTAAATGTGTTTAAAAAATAGAAGAAACGCAGGAATAACCTTCTATTGCTACCTGTGTTGTTGTTCCTGAGTTGCTGAGATGAGAAAAATTATTTCCAGCTGAAAGGAATGCATCAAATATATCCATAAATCTTAAGCAGTTTATAACCATAACAAGTTATATTTTTAGAGGTGGAGCACTCACTGGAGTGCTGCTGCTCTTTCATGTTTCTCAGTGGTACTTTTTGCATCATAAGTTTTTTTTTTTAGTGTGAAAGATTAAAAGAAATCATAAATTATATACAACAAAGAGGATGTACAGTCTGCAGCATTATGGGCCTTGGGAGAACTGACACTGTTTTACTGAAACTCTTTCTAAATACCTCTTTTTTTTGAAGGGGTTTGCCTTTTTTTTTTTTTTTGAAGTATTGCATAACATCTTGACCTTTTGTTTTACAGCAGATGATATCTCTTTTTTTAAGAGTGGCTCTGCAGAGTTGAAAGTAACCACTTGAGTGAGAGCCTACGTCTTGCCTCTTCTGTGGCATGTTCATTTCACAAGCTTTTCTGCCTCTTGTTTACAAAGGTAGGTTTCTGGGTTAGGGTGTAATGAACTGCATCAAGAGAGCACTGGTATTTTGGAGGTCTGTGTTCCTTTCAGCAAGTCGGCAGGCAGGACTTACAGCAATTTCTGCTCTTTCACCTGAGCATGTCTTTTGAATTAATATTAGATGGGGGGCAGAAGAACCACTGAGTTGCTCTTTGGAGGCCAGTGCTGACCTGGTTAGCTGACAGAATAGAAAGTGAGGAGAAAGGGGATATTTAAAACTAAAACAACAACAATCAAAATTTAGGGAGTTAACAGTTCATTTCCCTTGGATTAAATTGCATTTGCCTAGTGGGGCAGGCCATACCATCTCTTGTTACATGTCCAAGATCCGGGCCTCATAAGAACATTCCCAGAAAACACTGACATAGAGTTTGATTGGCCTGCTGTACATATCGTGCAGATTTTACCGCAGGAGGGTAGGGCATGATGCTTAAATACTTGCCAGGTGCTTCCATGGCGTTTGCTTGATTTACTGATGAGCACAGCCCTCTGTAGAGCTCTCTCCTCACTCAGACGTGCTGTGATTTGCTTCATCAAATCATACTGGAAACAAGAAACCTCCTTTAAGCAAAATAACTGAAAGTCTTTGTAGAGGTCATAGATAGCTGGAAATGTTATTTTGAAAGGGAAGAAAGGGTTGGTTTAAGCTGGAGCAATGCTGAAGGCTGCGTATAGCAAATCTATGACACCTTCCAAAGTCATCTGACTAGACACCCAAATGAAAGGTCCAAGTGTTACTGCAGCTCCTCATGACCACTTCCTGCACGCATGCTTCATCCCACATTCTTCAAAGGGAGAAGGCAGAAGTGGTAACAGAGGTATATGTTCATGGAAAGTTCAAAGGCAATAATGGTGCTTTGGTAAACTAGGATAACAGGTGTGGAAAGTTCAAAGGCAATAATGGTGCTTTGGTAAACTAGGATAACAGGTGTAAGAGCTGCAACTCTGAAGGCAGTTCTGTTGTACAAAAGGGGCTACGTTCTCGTCAGCAGGACTTGCCAGCCAAACACCTGCTGCTTCGGTGAATGCTGCACTGGATAACGTGTGAATAACTACCTGCTGGTGGCAGGCTTGGCACAGAGCAATCTTTTTCTTTTTTTTTTGACTGTGGGTTTGGGAGCGCCGATTCTAGCTACTGGGAAAATGCTTCTCTGGTAATGAGATATAGGAAAATGCCCCACCTTTTAAGTAACATATAGGAAGCATGTTTGCTTTTTCACAGCTGCAGTATTGGCTGTATAGAGAATTAATTACTAGTAAACTTTCTTATGGGTGCTGTCTTCATCAGTAGCTACTCCTAGGCTTGGCTTTTTCTCCCACCAGCTGTCTGTGGCATGTCACAGGGGCTGGGATAACGTTTGCCCTGGTCATCTGATCCATCATGCAAAAGTGCTCTTTCAGACAAGCCTGAGAGATGGGAGGGTTCTGAAGGATGAATGCTAAGTTAGCTCCCAGCACTTGTTTGTTTGTTTGTTTGTTTTTCTCAGCCACCAAAAGGGACTTGCAGGCTGACTACACTGAATTGTCATTGCTGTGGAGTAAAAAAACTGCCTCAAGACTTGTGAGATGCAGATGGAGCGTTAAACAGTGAAGGGAAACTAAAGGGATAAAATGAGAAAATGGAAGGCGTTCTGATTTTGTATTGTACCTGGCTGTGGCTGAAGACTTTCTTCTTGTCTGAGGTCTGTTTGTGCCCTTTGGGGAAATAAATTGGTTTATGTTTTAGTTACCCCACGGAAGGAAGAGCTAAGTGTCCTCATTAATAATAGAGGAACAGTGTGGGAGAAATCAGAGGAAAGAACAGCCCTCCAAAGGCAGAGAGGAGGGTTTGGTACTGAGGAGAGAGGAGGGAAGGGAGAGCAGACCTTTATAACTGCATGCAAAGAAGGTGAATTGATAACGTTATTTGCCATAGTACTGGATTTTTAATGTTTTACTTACACTCTGACCCTTTCCTGCTTAGGGAAGGAGAAATAAAGCCTATATTGTCTCAGAAAAGGAAGCTTAGTTTGAGAAAGCCAGACTGACTGCATGTGACTTTCTGTTTACGTTCTTTGGCCTTGGTGAATCTGCCCAAAGATATGCAGGACGGCAGTAATCCTCATTCTTATTTTTCAAATGGGCTCTGGCCTTCCAAGCTGGAAGGATGTTGATACATTTACCTGTGCCATTATGAATGGATGTGGAGGATGACAAGCACAGTTTTCAAAGGTATCGTGTGCCTGAGTTGGGTTGTATTCCTGAATCAGAGCTGCTTGTCTGAAAGCTAGTGCAAGTGGGAGCAGATTCAGATAAAGGAGAAGTTGTGGCCCTGTCTGAGGAAAACAAAGGACCTCTGTCGTCTTTCTCCTTCCCTTACAGGAAAACTCAAGCTATCAAAAAAAAAAAAAAAAAAGACCATTAGAAATAGGTATTATACGTGTGATCTCCTGCTGCGCAAACAACAAAGGCAATCTCTTTTTCTGAGCCCTATCCAAGCCCACCGTTTTTTTTTAGCATGGCCTCTGGCCAGACCAGCTCTCTCAGCAGGGAGAGCTGGACAAGGTCAGGCTATGCTGATTGCAAGTGGCCTTGGAAAGGTCATGTTAGGTGCCAGCAGCTAATGACTGTGTGCCTGTGAGCATCTAACAGAGTTATTTTTTGCTGATTTAGATGCCTTGATTATATTCTTGGCCGTGTTTAGCATTCTTGTTTATGGCTCTTGTTTTCTTGGGCAGGAATGTGACCAGATACGAGCAGATTGTTTCTCCAGGAATGGTGACAATACTTGCTGGTTGCTCAGTGAGAATGGGGAACTGTGCATGGCAAGAGCTGCCATGTCCCCAGCCAGTTCAGCAATCTCTGCTCCAAGAAAACAAGCTCCTGCTCCCAACCACTTCATAGAGAAGCCAGTGCATACAACCTATGGAGAACTACAGTCCAGCCCAGTAAGGGTAAGTCTCTGGCCTTGCCCTGCTTTTCACAGGTCAGTGTTAGAGCTCTGCGACTACTCTGGCCAGAAATCTGCTACCTCTGAACTGTAGCAGGGATGGAGCAGCAGACCTGAGCAGGTTGAGAACGTGGGAAGGATGCCTGAGTGCAACAAATGACGTTGGCAGGAGTTAAAGGGCTGAACTGTGAAAGGTTTGGGACCCTAGAGCAAGGTAGAGTGTTAGGTATAGAGGATGTTGAAGACTGCAGCCTGCCTAAAAGGCAGGCAGGCCTGCAGCCTAAAATTGGAAATGTTATATGACCCAATTATTCTGTGCTGTGAAAAAGCTGAACTTCAGTCTTAGAGCTTTGAGTCCGACCCTATGGATACTATAGACTGCTGTGAAGAACGGCAGAGTCCTTGGGGATCTGTTGCAGATAGGAATAAAGCCCTATCTTCATACCTTAAGGAGTCGCTATTTTTGAAGAGGTCTGAAGCATAGTATCAGGAGAGAGATTTAAGATAGCAATCATATTGAGCATTTTCACCAGCTTAGAGTGGCTCAGATTCAGTCGCTCAGGAGTTCCCAAGGGATATGTTGATCAAAATCAAACACTAAACACTTTTGGTTAAAGAATGTTTTCACAGCTTTGTAAGGACTCCTCTGGTGTCTTTGCTGGATGGGTGGGTGAAGCATCTTATCATGACTTTTCAGTTTGCCCTGACTTAATGAGGATCATTCTCTCCTTTAAGTACAAAGTGTCTGTTTAACAGGAGTAATAAAAGTTTTAGATTTGGTGTGGAAAAAGTACTCTGCCCATGCAAATTGCATGTTAACAAGTCCTGGAGCTTTTGTAGAAATAAAGAGCTTGTCTCGCATGGTTTTATGGATACCCTTGGATTTCATTAACTTGAAGTAAAGACCTTGCAGTTGGCAGCATCATGCTCATAATTCAAAAACAACTTGCATGTTGGATTAATTTCTCACTAGGAGGTGTGTCTTACTTGTTTGCTACAAATGAGAGGAGTACTTAAGATCATGTCAGATTATAAGAATTAAGAAAACAGAAGCAATCAAAATCATATGCAAACTGTTAGAACTTTACTTAGAGTAATTAGAGTATGAAAGCTGTTGGACAATATTGGAGCACAAATCCAAGGAGAAAAAAAGTAAAACATAGATCATTCTTTAACAATGCAAAAACATACATTTCTCTGTTAAATACATAAACAGCACGCAATTTTAATGCAACATGTACTTTTATACTTGCTGACCTTATCGGTCATTTTAAAAATAAGACTGTACAAAGTTTTTACCTTGATTGGTTTCTCTAGAGTTTATAGAAAACCCATGTTTAAAGCAAAACAAAGCATTTGATTAAAAAAAAAAAATTGGTAGCTCTAGCACATGTACAAATTATAGAATGCAACTTTCTTTTGGAGAGAAATCAACTGGAATTCTACAAATATGACAAAATGATGCATGAGGTAACGTTTCTCTTAAAGTTTAGGATCCCTGTACTGCAGTTCCAAATGGTGCTCTGGCTTGACACCTACAGTCCTTGGAAAATTGACTTGTTTAAGTAGTCAAGGATTGCTATTAGGCATACTGCTTTGTAGAAAGACAGCGTTATCCTGAAAGATACTGAAATAAACTGATACTGAAAGATATTTTGAAAGGAATTAAAAACAAATGATACCCATTAGGTGAAATAGAATTTTGTCTAGTTCTCAAATATACCTTTATATTACAGAAATGAACTGAAAAACATGGAGTCCTTTCTCTGTAGAAAGGTGTTAAGAGAATTGACCTTAATCTCAGTGCTGATGCATCCCCAAAAGTGTGACCAGCTCCTGCTCTTGCCCCTTTGTGTTGGGTAAGTCTGTTGAGAACAGAACAAGACTTTGCCCTGCAGACCACTCTGTGGTCCGAAGGATCAGGTGCTGAAGACATGAGCTCCAAACGGTGCTCTCCCGCTTTCTTGAGCAAGAGCCTTCAGACTTTGTGTTGCCCTTTATTAGGATGCTGCTTCCAGACACTACTCCCTCCTCCCAATTTTTAAAGTATTTCCATTAAACTAAAAACAAGTCAATTTTAGAGAACCTAAAGGCACGATTAGAACATGCAAATATGAATTCAGTATTTATAGGCATTGCTGTGGTGCTCTCCCTGTAGTATCCAAGCATGTTTTACCAGCGTTAGTGAACTTGATCCTTACAGCACCTCTCTGAGTTTGGAGAGCCTGCTATCCCTGTATTATTACTTTACAAATGATACAGTCCTCGACTTAATACAGCTTTGACCAAGTTGTGTGAAGCCTCTGTATAGAAACTGCGTGTTCTTCAAGATAGTTTGTGAGGCACTTCTATACAATCTGTTTCACCTCTATGATTTCCTGCAGTGAAATTAGCTGGTTCTTGGCTTCTGCTCTGCTGTTTACGCTTTCCTCAACCTTTACCGTTTGTTTCTAGAGTGACACTGTGGCTGGCCCTGCTCGAGTATGCCAAGATGGAGAGAGTAAGATGCACAAAACTTGCTTCTTTCTCCATTGCAAAAGGTGTGGCAGAGTTTGCTGTCCTTTGTTTTCCTATCACTATAAAGTCTGGTTTTATCTAGTGGCAGTAATGCTGCCTGATAACCTTTAAAGGTTAGTGGACCTTTCACTAAAGACAATAAACAGAGTTATTCTCTCTGCCAACTGGTACGGTCCTGGCAGGATAACGCACACTGTCAGTGCTTGCAAAAGACATTTTAACTCAGTCATTTGTTGCCCACCCCCCCCAACAGGTATGCGCGTGCACGTGTGCACACGCACACTTCCTCTCTCTGGCACTCCCAGAAACTTTCTGGCTGATACAGATGAAACAAGGATTTCTCAGAGCTTGGTAATGCTGCTAGGCTCTGCTGCCCAAGTACCATTAAACGCATTTCATCTATTCTACCAAGCAGAAAAGAGCCCTTGGTCTTCAGTTCTGACTCCAGTTTGGATTTCTGTGACCTACGGTATTAAGGTGCTCTGCCAGCGTCTCAGAATGAATAACAAAAGGAGCATGGGGGGGATATGCCACTAACTGCAAACCTGACTTCAAGTCCATCAGCAAAAGGCAAAGGTTTTTTTTTCTCTCTGCTCAGAACAATTAGCTCTAGGGAGGATCACTGCCACCAGCTTACTGGTAATGGATGGAATGACAAACCATCAAACAGTTTTCTAAAGAAGCTTCCTGACTCACATCATGCCCCCACTCAACAGACAAGCTCTGGGGTCTTCAGCCATCCTCTGTCTGTTATTAAAAACTCTTCATAGACCCTGGGCTTTGAGGAAACAAGGCTGAGACAACACCAGAATCTGATCTAGAATAGCAGAGTAGCAAGACCAATGTTCTGAAAAATCAAAGCTAGACAGCTGGGCTTGATGTGATTTAAGCTTGGTTCCCTTTATAATGGTGGTGGGAGTTTAAAACCACAGGTTGAATTTCTCGTCTTGTGCGTTTGATTAATAATATATGATATGTTGCAGGTAGACTTCTATTATACCTAAAGTAAGTGAAGTGCACTTTGAACTACATTACTTAAAAAGTGATTAGATTTATTTTAAAAAGCTTGCTGATGGTAATAAGTAAACAAAGTCATTTACAAAAGTGCATTATGTACCTTCGCCTCTTTGGATGTTTTGTTTTTGCATTTGTGTGGCACTTGCAAACTGCGGACAAAATCAGTTGCTCTAAGTAACCAGTACACTTATTGCCTGTAGCCTCCTAATTGTCTCATTATAACTCAGGAAGGACTTTTTGTTTATCTTGGTAGGAAACAATAGCAGAGTTACATTAGTGTTGCCTTGGAGAGCAAACTTCAAAGCTGAGTGAGGCATGGTAATTTCAAGTGCTACTGTTTTCTGTTATGTGTACGTATACTCTGCTTTCCACCCAGAGTTACTTTTGTTAAAAGTTAAAGCAATGTTTTAAATGTTGCAATTTTTGCTTTGCTTTTCTGTCATGTTTTTGCTGAATTATAGATAAAGCTGTTGCTCCAATTGTAAATTGCATCCTATTCCTAAGAGGGGATTTATAGAACCATTTGTCCTATCTACAAATGAGAGTATATTACGTAAGTTTAAGTATTCACCTTGTGTTACTTGGATTACAAAGGGAAGTTTTCAGACAGGGTAGTTTTTTTTTTTTTTTTTTAAAGTGCTGAATGATGCACATAAAGGCATGGGAGGAAACATGATATGCTTAATTGCTTGCTGGTTTTAGGCTTTTTTTGCTTACACATTTAACTGAAAAAGTGCAATGCAATACTCAAAATTTATTTTTGTCTGCAGATAAAATAGTTTAATTTTGCTTTGCCCTCATTGTGAGCTCCCATCACAAAGTGGGAGGATGCTTTACAGCTAGCTGTAAGATATGAAAATTTTGTCATCTGCAAAAGAAGCTGTGAAGCTCAGATTTGTGCCTGAGTATCCGCACTGTAGAACCCTAGCGGGCACTGCCTCTCAACCCTGAACTGAAACCCTAAAAAATGCAGTCAGTCTCAGGTCCCTGAAGATGAAGTGAACCTTTGTAGGTTCTTAATCAATTTGGAGAATAACTTAGGTTGGAAGGGGCCTCAGCAGGTGGTCATCCTGTCCAACCCCTCCCCCCCCCATTAGCAGGACCAGTTTTGGCATTGGATCAGGTTCCTCATACCTGTTGAATTTTAAACTTAATAAAGTGTTTCTCTTCATTGGTTTCTCCAACTCACTAAGTTGTATTTCCAGTTTGGAAATATATGAAGCCTGGTGTTTCCAAATGCTTCTAAGCCTTCTGTGGTGCTCTGGGGATGCAGGGCTTGCTTTGCTGGGAAAGTTAGGGTTGTAGCTCTTATGACTTATTAGAATATCGTAAAGTAGTAAATTTGAATTAATTCTTTTAATTCTTGGTTTTAAGTGAAGATACTCCCTCCCCTAATTCCTTCTATTTCTTGACTCTACTTTTCAGCTTAGCAAATGGAAAGTAAAAAAACAGTCCATCAAAAAAGAATTATGTTTTAAGCTACTTTTTAATCACTGCATTACTTGGCATTCAGTCAACATGAAGATTACATTTTCCTTCTCAAAAAGCAATCAGACAAAAGAAGCCTAGCAGGAGCCTCCAGAAGAGAATTAAGGGACGGGCTGAAGATGCTGAACGAGGAATGAAAGAAAAGTTGATGAGGTGATAGTAATAAATTGATTTGAGCAGTGACAACGTTTGGTAATGCTAAGGAAAATTTTTCCCCTAAGGCTGCAAAGACAAGAAGGTATCTAAAATACACCACGGTGGTTCTGTTTTATCGAGTGAGAGTGAATATCTTGATTATGAAATGTTGAGAGCTAAGACCACTCTTTAACTGTACAACTAGCTTGCACAAACTGCAGACAAAATGCCCTTCTGCTGAGTATGTGCCCCAAGTTGAGCTTAAGCTCAGTCCCCAATGGCCCCTATTTAGTCTTTGGCCTTTTTGTTTAGAAGGTGCAAACAGTTGACAGGTCTGGCAATGATTTTGCTGAGGAGTGGATCTGCTCCTAGAAAACTGAACTTGAATCTCCAAAGTAATATATACACAACCTGTCCAAAAATTATTAGAGAGCCATGAATCCCTGAGCAGCCTGCTTCTTCCCTCTTCTCTACCATTCTGGCATAATTTAGGCCCACTCTTGGACTGAATCTCTTGCTATTGTAACACCTCTAGCTTATTTCATGACACTGTATCAGTAGTCAGTCAAGTAAACTGCCTTACAAAACCCAAAATAAATTTGGAACTCATCTTGAATTCAAGAGATTACTACAAACTTAACCTATCATTGTATATCAGAGACACACGAATCCTCTTTAATGGGAACTTGCTCTGTTTTAAGAATGTGATTCCACACTTGAATTCTAATAAAAAGGCAAATATAAAGGAAATGGATAATAACATTTTATGGTTAACTCTCTACTTGGGAAATGCCAATTTGATACCAAAATTGTGATAACTTTGTCTTTGTCTAACTAATGTTTATGTGACATTTCCTCAATGCAGTACTGTCGGTTACTTAGAAACAGTCAGCTATGTAATGCTTCTTATTTGCAGGTTATAAAACCTACATATAGGTTTATTTCTGCTTGAATAGTCTTCTGAAGTGTTTTCACGTTCTTGAAATTTTTAGCTCCTCCCTTCTCAGAGACCAAAATACTTAAAAGCCACGTCTGACCTAAGTATTACTGATCATCCTTCAGTGTCTCTCTAGTGCAGTTAAAAGGAAAATGGCAGCAAGCATAGTTCTGATGCTTTCTGCTGTGTTTCATGGATCTCCATGCAATGCTGTTGTCTCTAGGCTGGTTATACAAGATCCATAACCTTTTCTACATTTTCCCCCCCCTTCCCTCCCATTTCAGCTTATTGTGCCAGCAAGATAAAGACTGACTTAGAACAATGTCTGTTGAAAGGTCACTTAATTTACTCTTTTATATAGCTTTAAGTTGCCATTTTTTTAAAACAGCTTAATATTAGTTGTGCATTAAGGTCATGTTTATGCTTAGATTGTTATTCCAACAAGCTATATAGGTGCAGTAATGAAAATGTGTGTGTAAAATTCTCATGTGTGGGGGGGTTTATAAATAGCTATTTATACATGTACATATCATATATATATATGGCTTTCTAATATACCCATGGCCATGGAAACTGAACTTGAATAACACCTAACTGAGTTCGAGTCTGTGCTGATCAAATCATGAATGTAACATTTCAAGTAGAGATAGACCTGATGCTGCCACCTTTCAGTCCTCTGCACCATCCCTCCTGCCTTGGGAGAGCCATGCGCCGGGCAGCTGCGGGGTGTCCTTCTTCCAGGCCCACCGGGGCAGGATCCTGTGGCAACAGCATGCCCCGGCCACCTTGCTGCCAAGCAGCTAAATTACACCTTGCAGCCTAAACGCAAGGTGATGCCCCAAGCCTCTGAAAGCCAGAAGCTGAACAAACCCTTTCGTCTGCCTTTGAAGATAAGGCACCATCCCACAAAAGACTAAATTGTTGCTGTTAAAGGATTTCTCTTTGCACATCGTGACCTGCCGACTCCCCCTCTGTCTAGGGCTGTTTTGTCCCTGTAAACTGATGCAATTATTCAGCAAAACTGAACGAGAGGTAGATATAAATCTCTCTCATTCAAAGGAAATATTAAACAGCAAAATGAACAGAAAACAGAAGACTTCTCCGTTACTCACCCAGTGCTCTTAGTGCAGCTCTATCTAACAACTGGACAACTTAGGGCTCTCGCCTTGAGCAGCTGTGCAAGAGGGACAGGGGAGCTGGGTGATGCCTGGGAATCCGGTCTCAAATACTGGCTGGAAAATGTAGAGCCTTTTTCATCAAGTCCATTGCTTGGTAAGCATGAGAGGACTGTCTAGGGCAGTCAAAAAAAATGTAAATGGAGATGTTCCCTCAATATCTGTAAGTCTGCAAAAGGAAAACTCAGACAAGTTAACACAATTCTATGTATATATTAAAAAAATCTAGGAAAATTAATCCACTGCTTGTCAGTGTTCTTTTATTTCTTGTTGTGTAATATGTTCTCCCATACTCTAAAGTTTACGATCTAGGCTACAAATCAACTTTGTTCCTCTTTTTATTGTAACTTCATTTGTATAATTCAGCAATTTTCCCAGAAAGTCTGAAAAGGCTGAACCTCCCCACAAAAGTGGAAATTGAACAGGTTTCTATTCAAAAATATTCACGACATGGGTAGCCGTTTCATAAGCAATAACACGGAAGAGACAGCTAGGCCATTTTACTAGAACTCAAGAAAGTCCTTTTGGGAAGGAAGCAACGTGGGACGGCGTGTTCAGGAGGACCTGCTGGGCAGAGACACTTGAACCCGCACGCTTCTAGCCACGTTTGCTTGTGGCTTCAGCTGAGGCAAAGAAGTGGTGTGCCCTTCGCTGTCTGCCACAGAAAATCGGCTATCTGCCCCTGGAATGCTGCAAGTTATAACCATGTCTAATCTTCCCCAACCCCGCTGATTTTGCCACCGAACAGTTTGGTTTCAGGTGTGCGCTAAAACTCTTGAAAAGGTTATCCATACGCAGTACCAAAAGCTGCTGGGGGTACATGGTGCTCTTTGTGGATACGCCTTCAAGTGAAGCCTGCTGAATAAGTATCCAGCGTGACGTGACGTTCTGATTTGGACTTACTCATTGCAGAAGCATCAATGTATTTTGTTAATCCAATGGAGCAATGTAAAGAAACACACAACGCACAGGAAACAGCATTAGAAAGGAAACATTATGCATGTGTTTTATGTAACTACTTGAATGCTAGCCCAAATCCTACCACTCCATTTGTTTTTTTGTAAAGTAAACGTATAAAGGAGTATTAAGTATTATGCACACCACTGAAATTTTAACTTTTACAATGCTATTAGCTTAGCTGCGTGACCAAAAATTCAGCTTTTGATATTCATTCAGTCTTCTAGCTAAAGCAAAAGCTCTAGTGTTACATTTAAACTGTTTTCAAAATTTTTGGGGCAATTCTTACCTTGAAACCTGCATGAGTAATGCTCAAAACTCTTCAAAAATACTGCTGCTTAAATTATAGCCATGTACCAAAAGAAATATTACACAAAAATATTTTCTTGCTTTTATCTCTACAGTTCCTGAAAAACTGTGTGTTGTGGACTTGGATACAAATGTACTGGAGAAAACACAAGTACATCAATAGAGAAGGCCTTAAATGGCCGCCGTGATCTATAACAGTCTATATACAAGTTATATACATGACTGTTTGAGAGTCTGTATTCGTGAGTGCAGATGCCTACAGTCTAGATACTGCACAAAGTTAACTTGTCTGAGGGGGTTTCTTTTCGTGTATGTGATTTTTTTTTTTTGTTTTACTGCAATAATGAATATCGAGAACAACCCTGTGGTGGCAGAGGAAACGTGTGGAGTACTGGATTCAGCTTTACCCTTCTAGTGCCACTGCTCGTTAACAGTGCACTGATTTTTCAAATCTGTCATTGAACACAATCATTTCTAAGTCTTTTCTTATTGCATATGTACATGTAACAAATTGGTACAAATGCGTAAAATAAAATGTAAAGTTCATTGATACAATGCCTTTCATTATTAGCCATAACTGGTTGTTAGCCAACTTTGTAGTGTTTTAGAGACATTTTTAGCTGAACTTGGAAAAATAGGAAATGTACTGTAGCTTAAAATAAATGTACATAATATACAGTATATATATTTATACGCATGTGTATGTATATACACACATATATTGATATAACATTTAAAGTAATGTTTAGTTTTGATCAGTTTTTCTGAGGTGTTGGGACTACCTGGTAAATAATCTAGAAACTGAATTTGTCCAGAATTAAATAATCATTTCCAAAACTTAGAAAAATATACTTTTACTAAATAAGGTTTAAATTAACTGATTTCTGGATATAGCATGTAGGATAACGGCTCCCAAACTCTGGCACGACTACATCTACGAGAGCCCAAGCTGCTACAGCCTGGTAACGTAAACGCTGCCCCGCAGCCACTCACAGAACAACACAGAAGTAGTAGCTGCTGTTGCAGCTGTTATTGGTAGCACCCAAACCATCTCTGATTTGGTAACCTCTTATATAGGCGTCATTTCAATGTGATGCAAATTCCCCTTACAACCCCATGCGCTATGTTAATTTAAGGCCCGCTTAAACCACAAAGTGCCTGCCTTGTTCTCCGAGTACAGCACTTTTGCTGATTGGAGCAGTGTTTGAACTTCCAAGAAACTGTTCTCTTGAGTGCTAACGTATGATCAAGGACCCTAATTTAGGCCTTCGATGACCATCAGTACCGGAGATTCATCATATGGGTTTTGATATACTGCACTGGGAAACATATTGTAGCAAAACGTGTGTGTGCTCGTGCGCATGTGTGTTTAAAATTTCATGGACCTACACATAGTAATGTGCTATACCATGGCATCCTGCTAAAGTTATGTTTTTTTTTTTAAAAATATAGGCAGCAGAAATAAGTATCAAGCAAATCATCCTTTAAAAATTAAAGTTAAATCAGAATAGTGGACAAGAACTTTGGTAAAGTTTGTCAATTCTTTTTTTTTTTAATTCAAACACAGTCAAGCTATTCTACTGGTTGCCATCACCCTCCTCACAAGAGGAAAGTGCATGCTTTTTTTCTGAAGAAAAAGATACATAAGGTGAAGATTAGGTAGCCAAGAAAATTCTGAATTAAACACTTATAATTTTTCAAACGTTTCCTATCTTCAGTGATGGAATGAAAGCTAAATAGATTTCTTGTCCTGTGTGTATTTTATTGTATGCATATATATATAAATATATATATATATATATATGTATGTGTGTGTGTGTGTGTGTGTGTGTACATACATGCACACATGTTGTTACAGGGGAGAGGAACCTGTATTTCTCCACTTGCCACATGCAGACTTACAAGTTCCTCCCTCTTTTATACACTGTGCAGTATAAGCCCTGGTGATGAGGCCAAACAAAATGACATAGTACACCACAGTACATTAATTTAGGTAGCAAAGTCCTTTTCAAACAAGTAAAATAAAGCTGTGTTTTCCAAGCTTCTTGTCCTTAACATTTCTCATTTAAAAAAAAAAAAAAAGAGGAAGGAAAAGGAAAGAGGGGAGGGAATAGGGTTATGGTAGTAGCATTGAGTCAGTGGCGTGTGCGCACACACACGCACGTACACACAGAGCAGAGCTTTGGTTGACAAATGCAGATTGTCCAGAGAAGGTGGATGCATAAGTAAGGAAGACGCTACAGCGATGCAGTTGTATCTTTTATGTTTGCACGGGGGTGAGAAAACTAATTCAATTGAAAAAGAAAAAGCCAAGACCTCTTTTTAGGCCCCTCATCAGTGTGAGCATACTCAGTATGCTAGAGAATTTATCTGAAACCTTTTAAATCAAGGCCTCTTTATTACAAAAATAAAAACAACCAAAAAAAAAAATGAGAGAAGACAAGATGTTGAAGTGTCATTCCAATTGTTCCTGCAGAGAACAATTGCATCCCATCTATTATTCATTCTCTTCTCTCATTTCTACGATGTCCGTCATTTCCTCCGTGTGAGGCATGTCGGTCATGGCAGAGTCTTCACCTTCCGTAGCTGCTTCATTCTCATTCCGCTTCTTTTTCTAGATCGAAACAAGCATGCGTAAGTACGCGAATATGGATGAGCGCAGTCCTGCAAACCCTGGGCACTGCGAGAAGCAAGGTGGGGGCTCGTGTATTTTTAGCGTAAGTTATTGAGAGTTAGAATATTTGTGTCACATTCATGGCTTCTCAGTTAGAAGGTTTCCATAACCTTCCTGGGGCTCAGCTTTCTCCTTGCTAACAGAAATGCAGTAATAGAGGCATTTTTTATGCTGAGTAACATCCAAGACAGGCTTCAGCAAGGATGGAGGGAAGAAAGCATCTGGAACTTTTAACATCACAGACTGTTTATTTAAAAAAAAAAGCAAAGTATCAGAGAAGATAAGTTGCTGTAGGGAGAGAGAGAGAGAGAAAGAGAGAGAGAGAGAGAGATGGCATCCTAATTTCTCCAACGTCAAACTTAGGAATTTTGCAAGATGTGAGCATACCGGCTTCGCCTGGTATTGTTGAGCCACTGTGGGCCCACATCCCACCAAGGCCAAGGAATATTAGAGTCTATTTTTGGCCAGCAGGAGCGGGAGGGCATTCAAGAGGCCTATGATTCATTCAGGATGTCCTGGCTTAGTAAAGCTAAGAAGCATTCAGACCCACTACAAAACAACTTGAAGCATCTGTTCCTTATTATCCATTTCTCAGCAGGCTGACTAGTCTTACAGAAAACACTTATAAAACTGACAAAAAAACCCCAACCCACGGGTATTATTGATTCAGCTGAGTTGAGCATAGCAGAGCTTCGAAATTTCAATGGTGTCTACACAGCATTTGATCTGCAACTCTCAAACCATGTCCACGAAATACCGCTTTAGGTGAAAAAAATTTGATGTGTTGAGCTACTAGTTGGCTCTGCCACTGTCACCTCGGCTGTTGAGGAGCTGGTGTCAGTTACATACCAGTTCTGGTAAGGGAATAAATTAGGTCGGCACAGTTTCTACTACTGCTACCTGCAGTAGTCATCACTGCAAAAAGTTAAGCACCAGATCCCCGAAGTACTCTACCAGCTACAATTGTAACATACAAGCAATGAGGAGGTTAGTCTAAACAGAAATACGTTGTGAAACCACAGGCCAACAGCCATTTCAGAGTCTACAGATTGTATTCTTTCCTGTTCAGGAAAAACATGGCAGACTAAGCGTGACAGAGAACAAGGTCTTCCATTTTCTTATGCATGTTGTATAGTTTGCTCTACTGTCATGCTGATCTTCCTGCACTGTTAATACACTTCAAAATTGTTTTTAATTTGTTCAACACAAGGCTTTTAGGTATTCCATTTTCTGACTTTTTTGCTAAAACCAGAAGTGGTAGGCATCTTTACTTTGTCTTTAGTAAGAAGTATAATTAAAAAAAGTTAACACATAGATTACAAAGTTAATACATAGATTATATTTTCTACTCCCATCCACAGACTTTTTCGGGAATGACCTAGCTGCACTATCTTGCTCTTTCTTTTTGGACCTGCAGCTGGTACCTTATACAGCACTCTGAACGCATACCTGGAATGACACACCCTGTAGGTAAAAAGACTACTAAGATATACCCAATTGCCAAGCCAACATTTACAGTATGTTTGACTTGATTTAGTGGAATATTCTTTGGAATCCATGTACCATTATTACTTTGCATGTGTAGGACTGTAGTCTGTGAGAGAGGTAGAAGTATGGCTATAAGAAATCCTCCCCTCTTTAAATATTTATAAGTTCTTAGCCTGCACTGTTGGAGGAGAATATCTTGTTTCAAGCCATTTCTTTAGATGGCAATAAAAATGACGCAACTGTATTTTTGTCCATTTTCAGCAGAGCCAGTTTTACAGAGAATTAAGACAAGTTTATATATATAATAACATAAGCAAGTGATGTTGTGCTATAGTAGCAACTCTATAGTGCAAAACAGTAGACACTGAGAACATGATATCCATGGTGTACATGTTTTGAGAAGCAGGAGGTTTACTTCGGATCAGCTCTAGCCTGGTCCCGTGGACTGAACGCCCACTAGCGGCTGCAGTGCATCTTCTGGTTTTATTTCATCCCAAAGAATTTTCAAGTATATTGGATAGACATCCAACACATTCATAAACTTCTTTCATCAGATTCTCCACAGCCTACTTCTTACCTGTTTCCGATAGACGTAACAGGCTGCTATTGCAACCATGGTGGATTCTCCTACAAAACCAGCTAGAAGGGATCCTACTCCAAGAGTGGCTCCATGAACTCTGTGGGTAGCATAAAAAAAGTAGCAATGATTGTGTGCTAATCTGTGATTCATAATTATATTTCCCCTGATACATATATAACCAGTCTTTAGAAATCTTTACTTTAAAGACATGATGAGAAAAAAAACATATTTTACAGGACATTTTTGTTTCTTAACATGCTTCATTATTTAGTAAGGGTAACACATACTGAATCAAATACTGCACTGAGGAAAGCTGAATACAGAATTTAATATGAAATTAAAGAATTGTATAGATTGCTATAGAACAGTTTGTTTTCTTTAACTTCATTAACAAGCTATTCTTCCATTAGCTTTCATAACAGTGCATTTAACAGAATGCAAATAAATTCCCCCTAGGACAGGCTTTGCCTCACTGACATTTGTATATTTTTTTCCAAAAGGGCCATCACTACCATGCCTGCCTAGAGCAAAGTCACACTCATAACTTTGTAAATGATTCTTTTCCAGAGATTGCCACTATTCAGGCTTTATATGATAGTATTTGGGGAAAATGTTCAGATTTATGTAGATTCCGCTTTTAAGCGACAGGAAACAAGGAAATATCTGTTCTATGGCAAGGAGAGTGATTTACCCCAAGTAAGGCAGAACAATGAGACTAGCGATGAGGACAATGATCCGCAGCACTGAGCTGGGTGCCAACACAAATGTCTTCTTTAGAGTCATCAGCCAACCAGTCAAGTGTGCTCTGACCGTCACTGTTCATAAACAGGGGAAGAGGGAGAGGAAGGGGAGAAAGGGAAGAAAGAGTGGAAAAAAATTTCAGTCATCGCATATGAAGCTTTTTCATGTAGAGAGCCCTGTTTAGCAATGACCAGGGTGGAATTTGTTTCTGGTAACTTTGCCCACTGGGAAACCCTCCTAGAAATGAAGTAGATCTTGTCTCCATGTTGCTTTAGTACACTGATTTTTGCAAGAAACAGTTATAGACAGCAATCCTTCCTGAGGAAAGAGCGTTGTCTTATAACCAATGAATTAGAAGAGCTATTCTGTTTTCTTCAATAAAAAATAAGCCCTTCCCTGGACAGAAATAACACTAAGGAAAACCTTTCACTAAGCTCCTGTTCAGTAAATGGTACAACAGCTAGCTACAAACAATGACACCTAGATGTACGTGTTCCTCTATTTTGAGCTTATCTTTATTATGAAGCGATCTTGTTATATTAGCAAGCTTTCAGAAAACACTACACCATGTAGCATCTGTTTATGAAAGTTTGAAAATTTTTGAGGGAAACCATTTTGATTACTGCGGTAAAACTTACCTGTTTCTTGAAGAGGGCCATTAACTTTTATTCTGTAGTGTTTATACTGTGATGATCTCGGCAAGTGCCACTCAGACTGGTAAAAGAAGGGAAGGCTAATGGGGTTGATACTACCGTGCAGTTGGTCCTAGATGCTATACCAGTTAATTGCAAGCTTGGCAGAAGGACAACACATGTCCACATGTACCATTAGTGTCATTCACATGTGTGTTCTTGGACAACTGCAATAGATATAATTCAGGTTTTACTTTTGCTAGTCAGAAATTTAGGTGTGGTCAGTTGGACTCTGTTTAACAGCAGACAGCTCTTACTGCAGCATTTGTACCTTGAGAACTGATGTAAATGGTCTTAGTCTACACTGGCTTCAGTGACAACGGTACTGCTTTGAAAATAGTGTTGCTTATGCTACGTATGCATTTGGCCACTCTTATTTTTAGAGATAAAGTCAGGCCCCAAGACCACACCTGAAGGTTGATTTAGGTTTATAAGTTGTGGATTTTTATTTTCTTGTTTTTACCTGGAACTGGGAAGAAAGAGAAGATGCGCAACGGGACAACACACAGCTCTGCGAAAGCAAAGTCTACTCCAATTATGTCAACTAAAATCTTCTCTGAGACGTTTGGCGTCCAAAACATCACAAAACAGAGCTGGGAAAAAAGAGAGAGAAGAATACCATAAAGAAATGTTTATATTTCGTAAGGGAAGCCACAATAAAAGATAGGCCCTCCTGGTCTAAAACATTTGTTCACTCTACTGATGGTTTTTTTGGTATCAAATGAAGGGAGAAGATAGATACAAATTAACAGTAATAATTTTGCATTTCTACAGTATTCAGGGAACTGCAGCATGCAAAGATTAAGGTTTTCATCATTACCAAGGCATGCATTTTACTTTCACCTTCTTTAGCTATTATCCTATGTTTCTGCCTCTCTGCACATACACCAGTGAAAGAAAGTAACAAAACTTGCACATTAAGCAACAGTCTTGACTCAACAGGTTATGAAGCAGTGGTAGAATAAATAACACACACATGCAAAGCTAATCTGGCTGCATTTGGATTGTAACAATTGTAACGAAGAAGAAATTGGAGGGAAGATCTTAAAAAGCTGTTCAGGGAGCTACCCCCAAAATCAACAATTCCTGTTGTCTTTAACTTGAGGACACTCAACTGCGCAAAAGTCAGGCCCAACTTTATTGCTCTGAATAACGAGTGGAAAACAGATTCTCACTTCTCTGAAATCAGTCAAAACTACTGGAAAAGAAAACATCGCAGCAAAGTTTGTAATCACACTCAGAATGCCTTTTGCTTTGTCTCAATGTTTTTGCAGAAGTTTAAAGAAGTTTTCAAATATTTAAATACAATAGTTAAATGCAATAAATATTTAAATGCAAGAGGTAAATACAGTTCTTCAACAGTGTTTGTGGAAGTAAGGTGTGACAACAGAAAGACCTTCTACTCCCATCTCAGTAGGCTTCAGTCTTTTCGTTCCAACATTGATAACAAATTTCTCTGTACTAAGAGGTTCCTCTCTATCACCTCATGAACAGAGAACACTCTCATTGTCCACAGGTGACACAGCTTCAGGAAAAAGTTAATGCTTTTTTTTTGTTTTTTTTGTGGGGGGGGGGGGGGGGGGGGGGGAACCCTCAGAGCTTTAACTTCCTACTCAGGGATTTTCAGTATCATTTCAAAGACAAATTCAAGATGTAGTGCAGCAAACAGGCCCCATTTCAGGAAAACAGTAATGCTAGAGAAAAATACATAAAAAGAGGAAAGGGGTTTGGTTACTGACCTATTCCAGAAGAGGTATATTGAAAACAGGACGAGGCCTTAGCTTTTTATCATGCTGAGTGTCTGCATGATGTTTGTGAATACACTGGTAGAGGATGGATACTGATCAGAAAGAGTTCATAAAAGATTGGAGAAGATAGACAGCAACAAGAAAAATGATATAAGCTGTCCAGTGAAACAGAGAGCGTAGCCTATACAGTTAGAGATGGGATCTGCTGGAGTAAAAAGTAGTAACTTTATGGGACTCATATCAGGAGAGATTTTAAGGAAAAGATTTACATATAGTAGGTTTCTTATCTTTTTCTGTTAGACATTTTCTTTTCTTCTCCCCCCCCACCCCTTTCATCTTTCTGTGTATGTTTGCAGGTTAAAAACAGAAGAAAAAGGGCTTGGTTAGGGTAACAGTTATCCCTTCATTTAATCTAATCAAAATGTGAAGATGAAACAGTAAAAGCTTGGCACAGACTAGCAACCTGCATGCATACTGACATGCTGGGCAGCTTCAGGCTGTGACTGCAGGTGAGTGCAACGCTTACATGCAGTACTGCATGCTGTACTTAGGAGCCTTGCTGGGGCTCGCAGTCCTCAACGCTTTGGGAGAAAGGATTTTGCTCGTGGAATTCTAGCAACAGAACTGACTTCCTTTTGTGTTGTCTTATGGTACGAGTACAGCATGATATGAACGGATCGTTTTGTTAATGCCTTTGATCACTTAAATGGGACTTAACTTACAAGCGACGAGCTCTTTAAGAATACAGGGAACGATGAAGACGATACAAAAAGGAGAGGAGTGGAACAGAGAAGAAGTAGGTCTGAGTGCTGCTGTTATCTCTGTACAAACAACAATAGCCTAGATATTTCTGGAAGTGTTTTAATCACTTCTACTGATCTGAAGGGTTGTGCTATTGGCAAGGTGTCTTTAACTGATCCACGGTAGTGAAATTTGAAAGGCTTCATTTAACGCATCAATAACTTAGGCTTGCATAAGAGCACGGAAACAGTTGTACTAGATCAGATCAAACCTCCCCCAGCTTAGTACTGTCTCCTTGTTAACAGTCAATGGGGTATGCTTAAGGAAAGGGTTCAAATAACAGGGTAAATACAGAGTAAGAAACGCCCTTCCCTGCTGTATCTGCTGAGCTGTTAGCTGTTACTGCTCGAGGAATTCCTCACTGAGAAGTTACATTTGCAGCAGCCTGCTCAATAGCAGTGGTGCACCTTTATCCCATGAAGCATTAGGGTGTGCAAGCAAAACGTCTCATGTCAGTGATCTCTCTTTGTAATCTAATTATGCATTTTGTTTAAAGCAACAACCCCAAAACAAAACCCCTAACCCCTTCACGTGTGGCCTAGACAATCTCCAGGTGTAGTTTTGCTGTCATTGCATTCAATCCTGTGCAACCTTGCTATTCTCAACCAGCAAATTCAGCACCTAGGAACATGAAAGACAACATATGCCACTATATTTCTGTCAACAAGCCTGAGAGAATGCACCAAATCTTTGTCTCAGAGGGAAAGTATCACAGTGCTAGTGCTCAGTCAAACGTCCCTTTAAGCCCTTCTCTTAAATACACTGCACGCATTTGACTTCATTACACGATTGTGAGAAGAGACCGTTTATGAGGTTTTGTTTCAGCTGTGCGTGCGAGTCTGCTAGTTTTCAAGAACTACCAGCATGCAGCCTTCTTACTGACCCTGTGTCTCCTGGAAGCTACTTCCATTTATTCCGGTTGCTGACAGGGAGCCTAAGCCTCAGACCCACTACATAATGCATTATAATACGTTATGCTAACAAAGGCTATTTCCACGGGTACAGTAGTCTGCAGGGTGCTAGATCAATTTGTTCTAAACATCTTTAGAAAGCTGTGTGTCTTCTGGGACATGCTCTGATAAATGTAAGGCACAAAGAAGGGTACAGCATTTCTGGAGAACCTCTGTGCAATTCCCAATTTGAGCTCTGATGACAAAGCTCTGATATGGCTCCATGTTTCTGAAGAAGAGCCTATGCAATCTGAAAGGGGGTGTCTTCAGTGTATCAGCCTGGGATGACGTGGCTATAACAAATTTTACCGTAGATCAAGGGGATGGAACAGTTAACTGGCTAAAGGCCCTTCTACGATGAAGTGCAGTTCGTATTCTTCTACTGCAAAACAACTCTCAGGAGAGGCTTCTTATCACTCGTTTCCTATTGTTTGTTGAACTTGATGTATTTGCAAAAGGATAGTGTAATATCAAGGTATGGCTGTCCAAGAAAGGTGTTTTACCCTAAAAGCATTACGTAATATGTGCACTGAGGACTGCATCTTTAGTTTAACCCATGCCTTGTTCACAACCTATTGATGCCCATTTATGCTATGTGGCATCCAATGAGGGCAGAAGAAATTTATTTTGTCTTATGCACCTCCGCTGTGAATTAAACTTTGGACTTTTGAGAAAATATCATTAAGTAAGTTTATCACTTTTATTAAGATGGAAGAATACAAATCATATGATTCTCAGTCTTTCCAAGTGTGCAATAAACAAATCAAGAGGTATTCTGAGTTTTACGCTGTCTAATCTCCTGATTTGCCAAACAGTGGCACTCTCCCATAAGCCAAATGTCCATAATGCCATCTCCTTTCAGAGCATGTATCACCCTACTATCTTCTGTGTCTGTTTGCAAGTCAGATTCATGTCTTGTTCTGACTTGCAGCAGTGTCCTACTGCAGCATCCTATTTTGCAAGGTGTGAGGAAAACACTGATTTTGCTGAATTTGTTAGTGCTATTCTTATGTATCTATAGCTTCACAGCCCTTGAAAAATCTAGTTCTCTAAATGACTGTGTAGTACTGAGCCTTGTCTCTCAAAAATTTACTCTAGCATCTTAATATTAAAGCAAACACCATCTCTCTTCTGTATTTTCCATGATGAAGAATAAAACTAACAAACAACTGTTTCGAAGTGTTAAGTACTACTACTGAAACTGTAGAAATAGTTATTAATTAGTCAAAAGCATTTTCAGACAATTAATGGAAAGGTGGTTCAGTGCTGAATATTTCAGTGCCACAGAATATAATTTCCTAATACCTGCTGAAGCATTCATGCCATCAGGCAGTCTCTCAAGCAGTTAAACAGCAATAAGGAAAATGTTCGACAGGGTTCTTATGAAGAGAAGAAATCTAATCACTCGTTTCAATTTACACAAATAATAAAGGATTTTACGTTCTTTCTGTGGACCAGTAAATCAAAAAAACCTCAGGTTCATAGTAAAGACATTATCCCCGGTTGATAGGAAGCCACACGAGAGCTTAAGAAGAAATACTCAAGAAAATCTTGTTGCTGCTAAGGACTAAGATAAATTTTAAGCACACTGCCGTAACTTGTCTTCAGGTTATCTGCAGGCTGCGCAGAGGCTGCTGAGCGTGGTACTGAATGCCTGGTATGGCAGCAGAGGCCAACATCCCTGGCTTGCCTGGGAGCACACCAAACCCAGGCTCACACCAGAAGAGACCTGCAGACTCCTATGCTTTCTTCCTCCATAAACCGTGTCAGAGAACGGCTTTTCACTCAGCTAACTAAGTTTCAGCAGTATTAAGGAGTTTTTGATAGAGAGCTTTTAAGACCAAAATGTTGGATCAGCCCCCAAAGGGAGGCCTTTGAGCCTGCACAGTCTGGCATTCTGTTGGAATAGGCCATGATGACGTGTTTAGGAGTCCTATAACTTCTAAGTGGACAGAAGACCGCTCCTTCTCTTGTGTGGGAGATGGGAGGTATTTAAGACTGGACTGGATAAAGGCCTGGGCAACCTGGTCTGACCCTGCTTTGAGCTGGGGCTTGGGCTAGAAGAACCCCTGAGGCCCTTCCAACCTGAATTAT